TCAATTTTCAGTTCATTTGCTTTATTATGGCTCCTATATATATTCTAGCCTTCAAAAACAGAAAAGCAAGGCAACAATGTGCAACGGACAATATACCCTATAAACAATAATTTAACTGAACTAAAATTTAGCAACTGTAAAACAATTTATTGGTCTGACCACTGGTTAGACTTTCCCAAAGTCCTTCCCAGTTTTTTTCTTTTCGCGGTCGTATGTATGCTGGAAAGGACTTTTCTCATTTGCAGTGCGCTAAATCTATACCGGTGGATTTTTTGACCGGGGTTTGATTGGGGTTTTGTCATTATTCTATTGTCATTTGAATTAATTATTGAAATGTCGTTACAGAGATTAGGCTTTCGACTTATTTAATATAAATAAACAATAAAACAACGTCGTTTCAAAGTAGAGAATACTGTTCTTCTCAAAAATGCAATAAAATATTGGCAACAGAGGCGAACTGTTGTTTGACTGAATTAATTTTCTAAACTAAAGCGCCGTTTTTGTCCCTACAAGAACGGCAAACAGCATTTGTGGGAATGTTTCACTACGACGAAATCTTCCAATTATTACTGTAATAGTTCAATGTTTTCGCAAACATTCTTCTTTTAACGCGTTCCAAACTATCTTTGCATTTTCCAAAATTCATTTTTTTGGCTATTTTCCTCTCATTTGCAGATTTTGTGCTAATTTTCCGCAAAATATAAAAAAACGTTTTCAAAATGTTTGAATGGCTTTGTACTATCTGTAAAATAAGTCGAAAAAATTGATATTTGAGAAAAAAGCATGATGCAAAATCACGCTTAAAGCGCGAAAACTGTTTCCATGGAAAAAATCGTCAACATAAACAATCGTTTTCAAAAAATCTTGCTGACCTTGAATTTTTTTCTGCAAAAATAGAGGATACGGACTACCAAGAATTACGAATAAGCAAATTACACTACATTATCTTGGAAATGCGAAAATATAGATGCACCTTATCAAGCAGCATAAAATTTTAAAGAGAATGAGATGCTCCAATTAAAATATACAACTTCCGAAATATACCAACGATTTCTGAAGCCCTGTATACCTCGAATATATTTAAAAGTTAAAACTGCAGAGACTGGTAGTCCAAAGTATCAGAAATTCTGATACTTTTGAAATCGTCTGTATCTCAAATATACTTAAAAGTGCAGAGACTGGTACAGTAGTTCAAAGTATCAGAAATTCTGATACTTTTCAAATCCCTTATATGTGAACTATACTTAAAACTGCAGAAACTGGTTGTCCAAAGTATCAGAAATCCTGATACTTTTGAAATCCTCCCTATCTCAAATTTACTTAAAATTGCAGACTGGCAGTCCAAAGTATCAGAAATTCTGATACTTTTGAAATCCTCTGCACTGTATGTCAAATATACTTAAAATTGCAGACCGGTAGTCCAAAGTATCAGAAATTCTGATACTTTTGAAATCCCTTATATGTGAAATATACTTAAAACTGCAGACTGGTAGTCCAAAGTATCAGAAATTCTGATACTTATGAAATCCTCTGTACTGTATGTCAAATATACTTAAAATTGCCGACCGGTAGTCCAAAGTATCAGAAATTCTGATACTTTTCAAGTCCCTTATATGTGAAATATACTTAAAACTGCAGAAACTCGTAGTCCAAAGTATCAGAAATTCAGATACTTTTGAAATCCTCTCTATCTCAAATATACTTAAGATTGCAGGCTGGTAGTCCAAAGTATCAAAAATTCTGATACTTTTGAAATCCTCTGCATTGTATGTCAAATATACTTAAAACTGCAGAAACTCGTAGTCCAAAGTATCAGAAATTCTGATACTTTTGAAATCCTCTCTATATCAAATATACTTAAAATTGCAGACTGGTAGTCCAAAGTATCAGAAATTCTGATACTTTTCAAGTCCCTTATATGTGAAATATACTTAAAACTGCAGAAACTCGTAGTCCAAAGTATCAGAAATTCTTATACTTTTGAAATCGTCTCTATCTCAAATATACTTAAGATTGCAGGCTGGTAGTCCAAAGTATCAGAAATTCTGATACTTTTCAAATCCTCTGTATGTCAAATATACTTAAAACTGCAGAGACTCGTTAGTCCAAAGTATCAGAAATTCTGATACTTTTGAAATCCTCTCTATATCAAATATACTTAAAATTGCAGACTGGTAGTCCAAAGTATCAGAAATTCTGATACTTTTGAAATCCCTTATGTGTGAAATATACTTAAAACTGCAGAAACTCGTAGTCCAAAGAATCAGAAATTCTGATACTTTTTAAATCCTCTCTATCTCAAAAAAAAACGTAAAATTGCAGACTGGTAGTCCAAAGTATCAGAAATTCTGATATTTTTCAAATCCCTGAAATGTGAAATATA